GGTAGTATTGCTATCACGTTGGTGCCAGAAAATCCAAGTCTCTACCGTTTTAGAAGTGAAACGTTATGGTAGACTATGTCAAACATTTTCGAAAAAGCACTAGATAACACCCGTAACGTTCAACTAAGCTCTAAATACTTTTGCAATCAACTCTTAAAGATTGGTTGAGGTTGAAAACCAAGTTATGCTATAGGCAAAACCGAGCCACAATAACTAAGTAAGCTCTCTAGTAAATAGTTAGGCAAAACACTAAGTTTCGTTACTTTGCTGTGGTTACTAATATCCATGTTGAGTCCTTTTGCGATGCCTCTACCATTGTTACTCCAATCGAGAAATCAGAATCGACGGAGCTAAACGTGACGACACTTGTTACGGGTCAATAGACACTACCATCTCAGCCATGTCATAGATTACCTTAGAAGAGTTTTTACAAAATTCTGCGTAATAACATCTTGATTCTCAAGAAAGATTGTTCTTTCAGGACCAGCGCTAAATCACAAATACCAGACGCCGATGATGATAAACTATCGCCTGGGCCATCAAGTCTGTAAAGACATTGGATCAATCGTTAGAAAATTACTGGCCCTATTACCACATCTGCGCTGTACGTTTAGTATCCACCCAAATGGGATGCGCAAAGTTATCGCAAAACTAAAACGTTAACAGCATTAACACCAGCACCAGTCTTGGCCAGGTACCTCTTAAAGGTCGACAATATTGGGAAGAAGCGAATTAATATGCGAAGTTAAGACTCAAATAGGGTAAAGTAAACCTATAGAAATTAATTACTTAATAATACAATGCTGTTATCTCGGCTTTTACTATTATTTACTATATGCGAAGTTTTAGGTTAAATTCGGGTTTTGCTTTCTTTGTTTTAGATCACTTCGTTAATTTTATCCCAACGAGGCGCAAGCACATACGTGTGGCAAGTATCAGTGATAGATATCTCAAATATTAAATTGTTGACCAATATCGAACTATACTTTTCTGTTATACAATTTATGCAAATGATTGTTTTGTACCATCTTCATGATATTTAATGTAGGTTTCATCATGCGTAAAATCCGTCGTATTTTCCAAACATCCAGCGACTTAGTATAATCGAACTCTTTGGTTGATTTGCCAAATAAGCGATTTGCTTCTTCTATATCATCGCGACATCTGCCTACTACCACTTTCTTTCCCGCTTATATCGCCTAAGGAATAAACAACCTTTTCAATCCTGTGCGTTGATTGTAACTGCTCCAAGTCGGATATCAATACCAACAATTTACTCTCCTTTATGAGCGACAATGTTTTCTGTGGACCACTTTCACAATAAAAAAGATCTTGCACATCAAAACGTCCACCTTCTTCTATAATATCCATCAAAGCGCAAACATTTTTAGCGATGATACAAGAATTTTACGAACCGTTCGTAACATTTAGTTACATTTATTTAATGGAAATATATGTTTTGCGCATAGTATGCAAACATTTTCATATTGTAACACTATCCTTGAAATGAAATATTGAAAACCTTGAAATTAAGAAGCGAAAAGGAAAAGGCAGAAAGGTCGAAAAATTGCACACAAAAAAACTAATTCCAATAAGAACAACAACGGTCAGATAAACATGCAGGAAATTATAATTGAATTTTAATAAAATTATAAAAAACAACGAACAATAGGAGGAGGTAACTGACTTTACAAATTAAACTCTTTGAATTATTCTCAATTGTAAATAAATACAGACTGACTTTTTGAATTATTCTCAATTGTAAAAAAATTCAGACGCTTACTCTCAGATGTGACCAAATTTAGACGCTGACTCTCAGATGTGACCAAACTATTTTTGAATTACTTTCAGACGTGACCAAATTCATAGTCGTTTGTTCAATGCAACAGGTGGATGTTAACAAATACGGAGACTTTGAGTTCTAATTCATTGTTTTCTTCTAGAAAGAATAGCATGTTTTTGAATACGCAGGAGAATAATATCGCAGACGCTAATCTATATCATCCCAGTTCCAATTTCCTCCGCCGTAATCTTGCCAAACAAACGTATGCGTTGCAACTCATCTTCTAATATTACTTTATCTTCTGGATCGGCATTATGTTGTTCGAGGAGGTTCTGGAGTCAACTGACTTTATTCAAAAATGTCTTTAAGAATACGAGGTTTATGAGCCTGATGTTTACAAATTGTTCCAATGACAACAAATTCTTCTTCAAAATCGTCTCGTAGAACAGACAACTTTTTTAACGGTATTCTTTGTCCCCAATGCTTACTGGCTCGTTTGGCCAGTAGCCCAGATATCTCAGCCAAATGATGGGCATAGACATGGGAAAATTGTTTATGATAATCGGATGATTTTAGTAAAAACTTCGATGAATGATTTTCGTATTTCAGCGGCATTTGATATGATGTTTACAAAAAGTAAAGATTGTTAAATAGATGGCATTTGGCATTGTGGTGTGGCTGGCTTTTTTTTGCAACTAGTTTCATCAATGTGACATTGCAACTCTTCATTTTTTTCCTTAATTCTCTCACGTTCTTCATTATTGTTTGTTACATTATATATCCAGCTGTTACGATTTTTTCACTACTTCGTCACATATATCAGATGAGAGAGATCTTTTATTCACCATTTCTCTTATTTATTTAATTTTTTGTTTTACTTATTAAAAGCAACTCTGTGCTCTGTCCATTCACCGCACATAGTACTTTTTTTATAAACTGTGTAAAGAAAAAGATCGCTTTTAGCGAGAAATCAAAACCATTTCACAGGTGCAAAAAAAAGTTTGACAAAGCTAAAAATTGCGGAAAAAAAATTTAAAAAAATTGTTAAAAAGTTTAAAAATTAGAAAAAGTTTGAAAATTTATATAAAATTAAATAAAAAAAAAACAAAAAAAATCGTAATATTGAAATATTTCCTGGCTTTACTTCAGAAACGGCAATGGTATTTGCACAGCCAGTTCGATATCGAAAGGGTGACCTAAGTCGAAAAGACGATCTGTTTTTAAAAAAGTTCGGGCATATGGGTCTGCAACATTTGCGGGCGTGTCGCTAGTGAATTTTCTTGGTATATCTCCCTAATGTTGTATAACATGTAAAAGGTAACGTTAAATGTTCTCGTAAAAAATTCGTTGATTTCGTAATGTAATGGTGCTAGCCTCTTCTTCTTCTGCCAAACACCTCAATGTATGTGTATAGCAGGAACTTATTATTATTATTATTATTAATTTCATCAGAGAAATAAATTCTAAGATTAAACTCTTAAAGCACTAGCATCTAAGGCTATCGGCTTTTTATTAAAAACTGTAACACACTTGAGACTCGAACCCACGACCATTGTGTTGCTAGTCAAGATTCCTCGCCTTCGGCCACTCGGCGGATAGCACGAACATAATAACCTAAATTATTACTATATCAAAGCGCATTTCTCATGAGAAAGCTTGCATGGAGGATGAGTTAAAAAGTGGCCCAAATTTAACGCAGTAAATTTGTATACGAATTGACTAGACCAATCTCCACTATAAAATGCTAAAATTTGTATCTTGGATTGAATCATTGAAGTTTATTTTTGCAAAAAGATTTCCGAGGGAATGGGTTCAAAAAATTATCCCACCCCATCTAAATTTTGTTCACTTCTTTAATTTACTAAAATCTTGCTTTTTCTTTGTGTTTTTTTGGAACAATAGGAAACATATCAAAGTTTTTTCAAAATAACAGTCTATAAGGAAAGTGACCGATTATACCATTGCTTGAGAATCATTTTTTAAATAGGTTGTAGCGTGACTGTTTCTTTGATACCCGTCTTGGTATTTTTGGACTCAACTTACAGTCGCAATTTTCCGAATTTTACGAATTCGAAACAACGCTATTAAATAGATTAAATCGAGTGGTTTTTACAAGTACTTGTCTTTTATATTTTTCTTCTATTTACCTTTTACCTTTGGATACTTCTCGCTAAAAACCACTGAAAAATAATATTTTCGCTCGTAAAGTGAATACGTAAAATTTGGATGATATGGAATTAATTATAGAACACTTGTTGCCACGTTCTTTCTCCATAATATTAAGCCTTTATATGTCGACAAAATTTTATTAATATTTTACGATGAAAATCGGTTCAAACTTTGACAAAGTATGGAATACATTAGTCTTTTTTTGTATCCTTCCCCTTGTAGGGGTTTTTCGTTAAAATAGGCTTAAGATATATGACCATAAAAGATCATTTTCTACCCCTTATGACGGAAGTAAATGAAAAGAATGGTATCGAACGATGTCGTAACATATAACGTATACTCTGACAGTAATCGGTTTTGCTATAACGTTTTAATTTTTTTTTTTTTTGATACATTCTCTTGAGAGAGTAAACAATGTTTTTTCATTTCAAGTTTTTATTATGTTTTAGACTTATAAAAAAAATTCTTCAGTAAATTATTAACTTCATAAGTTTTGCGTTGGAAAAATTGGAAAATGTGTGTAAAAAGATATAAAATGTTTTCCTTACGGCCAAAACTTTTAATAAATTGAATTATAGAAACTTCTATTCTATTACTCCATTTCAGTCTTTGTGACACTGACTATTTCCATAAAAAAGGCCAACGGTATAAGTTGAAGTAAGTTAAAATTTCATAAAACTATCTGTAGAGTATCTTCAAATTATTTTAAACAAAAGAATTTAAAAAAAAAACAAAATTAAGATAAAGTCAACATAAATTTAAAGATAAATCAAAACATCATGGATAAAATAAAATAATTAAACAAGTAAGAAAGTTATTTATGTTCGTCTTGAAGAGAGGTTTGAATACCGATCACTTGAAGCAGATTACAAACACCACAAAGTATTTTTGTTACACGGTGGATAGGGATCGCACAATAGCACAAAACAGGTTCGAGTGTACATGTGTAAAATACGTGTACTTACTCCCGTGTCTTTATATTGTAACTTTGGTTGGACGAACACATATTTTTTTGTTTTGATTTAAATACACACAAATTCCTACTTACCGTAACCACTGACTTTTAAACAGAAGATAAGTAGAACGAAAACAAATATAAACTGTATTTGTTGGATCGTTTTATGAAGCCCTGGAATAGAGTGTATCCATTGTCTGATGAGTGATTGTAACGACGCTTGAGACATTGTTCCTGATATCCCCAGATGTGAGGAAATTTATTCCGTTGCGTAATATACAAGGGTAATCAGTTGATAGATAATTCAAATGAAATAATTATTAACACACTAGCGGCCGCATAAGTAAAATTTTAATTTGTTTTATTTTTATTTCTATTTTTGTGATTTCGGTATATTAGGGTTATAATGTTTTTGTGATTTTGCACTGTCGTCCGTTCTATAATTTTAAAATTCATTGATTTAAAAGAACGCCTTGATAATCATATTCCAAAATCATGTAGAACTTTTTTCATTTTGGGCAGCGGTAGCTTTCTTGACTTTGATATCTGCGCAAGTCGCAAAAGCGATTCATTTATTATAAATGATAATAAGTCGAATGCCGACCAACTGACTAATAACATTAATTCATTTCATTAATTGTTATTTGCGCATGCACAAAATAACTTGAAGTATTTTGCGAAATAAAATCGTATTAGGTTGCGCTATGCTTTCACTATGCTTACCTTGTAAGCAGATCGGTTGGGAGCGCAAAAAAAAATTCTATACGTTCTAGGACATAAGGCAGCAACTCTCTTTAAACAAAATAATTAAACTAATCAAACATTTAAAATCTCCGATATCAAGTCTACAATACGCTGACGCTGAATTATTGAAAAACACCGGATATTATGTGATATTATTACAATAAAAAAATTTTTCCGTCGCTGTGGCAATCGATTTATTATATTAAACATTTACGAGTAACTCTAAGTTGTTCTCGTGAATGGGTTTCAACTTGTAGAATGCTGATTTGAAATTTAACACAAATGTTTGCCATGATAATCTAGACACATATTGTGCAACTGGTCTTATATAATGCCTCTTGTATAACCACAATTAACAAAATCAAATTTATAAAGTATAATACCACAATTAGACAATGACTTTTTCTTTTCTTCTTCATCTTTTCCTAACTTATTTTTTCCTTTTCGTTTCGTAAATGAAGAAGAGACGATAAAAACAGATCACGTCAGATAATTTGTGAATAGTTTAAGATACATTTTTAAATTTAAATATTTTTTTCTCCAGCCATAAACCAATTCTTTTCATTTTTTTTTTTTTTTTTTTGTTTTGTTTTGGTGTAATGTAAAAGCCCGTAAATATGTTTATATTGATAGAAACCTCTTAAAGAGGAAATGATAGCGGATAAAAAAGGCTAAGAGAAGACCAACGAGCGAGAAAGCGTCGTGTTTGACGTACAAATTTAGTTTTTATTTTTTGCTATTTATTCATTTTATAAATTACTTCCCCAAAACGTAAGTAACACTTTGGTTGAAGGAAACTAAAATTTGATTAAGTCACTTTCTAGAACGGATTTACTTTTTTGTTTTGAACGCTTACTTTGTTCGCTCTTCTAAGAACACAATTTCGGTCTATCGAATTATTTTAAAAAGATCCGCTTTCCGTTAGTACACACCCACAGCTCTCTTTACCGATTATTCACCTACCAAAACTCAACCAAAACCGTCGATGGTTCATTAACTACTGAACGTCTAATTGAGTTTTATGTTTGCTTCAAGCTCTTCTCTTTCCTTACAACCATTCTGCTCCAGCTAAGATTGAATTTATAATCCAACAACAACCATATCAGAGTTTCTTGATACCTGTTAAAACCGGTACTAAGCATTTTTTTGTTAAAAGTGATTCTCAAACTTTTCTTGGAATGACAAACTTGTAATTGAAAGTATGCAATTATACCAAAAATTATAACTGGCCAGGAATGTAGATAAAACATAAATGTTATTTCTTGAATTTGTTTCCAACCTTTTTCCTACTCTTATTAATTATGATATCATTACATATCTTGCTGCCTTCTTCGTGGCCATTGTTACAAAGATGCGTTCGCAATTGATGACGATATATATCTCGTTTACGTCATTCGAAGAACTGATAGAAAAGAACGCTGCAGTCTAAGTATTATACACATGAAGATATCTTAGTAATCTATGGTCAACTTCGACTTTAGTTTTACTGTGTAGTACGTATGAACTGTGGCCCGTTTAACGTTGTTGAACCATCGTAAAAATATTTTATGGTCTCAATATTGTGGAGAGAGTTTTTCGGCTTCTCAGAGAAATTTTAGATGATATGGAAGAGCTGTTAGTGAGATTGTAATAAATAATGAAAGATTTTCGTTACTATTGATTAATTTAGTTGCAACTCGTAGATACGAAGAAGGTGGAATTAATAGGCCTGACTCAGCCGGAGTTTAATAAATAATTGACACTATACCCAAAGCAACTACTTCGGCATCACTTCCTATATTGTCGTTAATTTTCCCATGCTAATGAAGAGTATAAGTTTTTTCTGTAGTAAGCTTTCAATTATTATACCAACAATCACATAAGGCAAGTTCGTATCTCAAGTCATTTAATTTTTTTGTTCTGTGCATACGCGATGAATATACATCTCTCTCTTACATTGTATTTCATACTATATGAAAGTTCCTTTAACAGCATTTGAAACATTTTTGCCCAGAAGAAGCATAAGTAAGAAAAGACGTAAGTTTGCCCTTCGGAAATTCTTTTGGATGGTTTTTTATTTAAATTAATTTTGTGTATGTGTTCGATTTGTTTTGCCAAAGTACACATAACCACATTAGGTGCAAATCTAGGAGTCAAATTTTTTAGGTTCTATCCAGTACGCATTGATGTGAAAATCAAGTCAGTGAAAATAAAAAAATATTTTATTTGTATATAGCAAAATTAAAAGTTTGCTTATAATCGGAGCTATAACTTTCTCTATCCGCCTGAGTGCCCGAGTAGGCAAGAGTCTCGACTAGCAACTCAATGGTCGTGGGTTCAAATCTCAAGTTCGGTAGAGTTTTTAATAAAGCCGAAAGCCTTAGATGCTAGTGCTTTAAGACTGTAGTCTTAGAATTGATTCTCTGGCTAAATTTATAATTGATAATAATAACAATAATAACTTTCTAAACTTGGAGATAAGCAATGGTGGTCGCTCATTTAATTACTCTCTCAAGTTATCAAATTCGAAGTTCGCACATTTAGTTACTCTCTCAAGATACCAAATTCGAAGTTCAAATACATTCAAACGAGTTGAGTCATCATACGTACAGTTTGCAGCGTTTGTTCTCTGACAAGAATGTTGAGTAAAACTTAAGGAATACATTTTAAACAGCATTCGATAATGTTATTTATGATTTTCGAATTTTGTTCGATGGTTTGTTCCACAAGATCCTCCTCATTAGTTGTTCAAGATTTCTAAAGTAATCAAAAGGCTTGATACAAAAAAGTTTGAATTAAATATAAAATGCTCGACTTACCTAGGAGAAGTAAGCAATTTATCTTCGAATTCTGGCAAATTAAAGGAGATGTGAATGAGCGAGCCAGAATTAGAACTTGTTGCAATGCATTTGAACTTCGAATTGAGAAATAAGAAAAAGAAGAGTGGTGCTGCCATAATTGCAAATCGCGTAAGATGTTGCCGTAAATCGAAATTTACATAACATCCCTTCAGGCTAATGTAACTAAGGATCAATACATACGATAAATGTATGAATAAAACGAATTTATTCAACACTAAAGACACTTTTTACCCAGATATAGATGATAATGCTTCCATTAGAGGTGCGAACAAAAAGAAGGTCCTTAAGGGTTAGCATAGAAAATTAGTTTCCAATGAAGAAGATACCGAAACGGATGAGTATCCAAAGAAATTACCAGCAGCAATGTGCACAATATTTTTTTTTTTTTTGCATTAAGAACTTATGAATTAATGACAAACGACGGTTACGGTGACTATTAATTTAGTTTATAAATAAACATTGTTCGATGGCAGTGTTAATATCCGCCCCGTCTCTCAACAGACAAATTTTGTAAAAGAGGGAGAAAAAGTAAGCAAGTTAGTTTTCATTCTTCCGAAAATACGCAGTTACAATTGCTAAAAATTTTGGTCAGTCTCTCAGCAACAGGTATAAATATAGTATTATAGGAAAAGAAACTGAGAAGTAGACTACAAGAAGAATGAAGTAAGATGCCTATTTCTTATACAAAAAAAATTAAACAAGATATGTCACAACATTTAAATGAGATTATTAAGCAAAAAGGAAACCCCACGAAACATTAATTTTGAATAATATGCTGTTTTTTTCTTCGTACCCTCCCTTATATGAAAAAAACGCTATGTTTTATGAGTTGTTGAGGTTATTTAGATTTCTTGTCTACTGAAATAATGTTTTATTTGTTTTTTCTTTTTTTATATATTAATATGTACTCCCTATTAGTACACATTAGTAAAATACATTTTTATGTTTCGACAACAAGCGTTTAACAAGCGTTTATTTTTTTTTCGAGCAAGAAAAGCCAATATTACCATAGTATAGTACTAGAAAAGAGAAACTGATAATAGAAAAATAGTGAGAGTCATTGAAACTCTGCCACATATCCGTATCAAATTTCAGATTCGTACTACTTCGAATTATTAGCACATTTATTTTTGAATTTGTAACTTCAGGACAGTCGTGACCTAGATGATTCGAACGTCGAGTATATAAAGAATTTTTCTTGAATGCATATGTCTTGTGATAATAACTGAGCTAATACCTTGCCGGCAGTGTTTACTCATCAAAAGTAATCAATTCAGAGCTTCGGCATGGAAGTTTTATTAAAATAAGTTAATAAAAGTTAAGTATAACGAGGAGTATAAAACGCGGATGAAACGTGTTTCTTTCCAAGATAAAAAGCAGAAGATAAACAAGTAAGGAAACAATACACGGCTGTGATCGTATCTTTTATGTCGCCCACCTTAATCCTAAGAAACGTTAAAAAAAAGGAGAAATTAAATTTCCATAGTCTACAACATTGGATGAATGTGGCTGAATTGATCGATTTTTGCAGAATATACGTGAAAATTTGTTTCATATGGCTATTGTAATTAATGAGCAATGGTACCAAAAAATCCATAAAGTAAAGGTATTCTTAAGTTGCACTGATCATTCACAAATTTGGGCCATTTAAAACGTAAAACCTGCGCGCAAGAACACCCAATGTTTCAGCAAATTTTAAAGCCGTTAGTGTCATGGCGCTTAGAAGAATTTTTACCACAGATATTCGACATTCGATATTTGGGTAGACGAACAAATGGGCAAACGAACACACCTATATTCTCCCAGAATTTGATTCTTACCAAGAATATATTTACTTTATTGCGTCTCTGAAATTTCTTTCTGGATGTTGCAAGTGGTTTGATAAAGTGTATACGTGTTCATTCTTCTGTGATGGTTATGAAAATATAATATAGGATTAAGAAAAATAAGCTATAATGTTTTCTTGACCGTTCAGATATTTGCGAGAAATTCAAAGCGCAGATTGCATGGCGTAGTCCATTGAGCTAAGTTCGTCTCATGACGGTTGATATCACTGTTTATATCTCTATTGAAAAAGAAGCTTAGTTAGAACATTCTTTCATGGATTCGTCTACAATGAGCAAAAATATGAAAGTCACATGGCTCTAACCAAGTACATGAACAGTCTTTTCGTAATGAAGCTCTTTATTAAGACAAGTCCGTCGGTCTTTTTGTTGTTTCCTTTTTCTTGGACATAATGGAAGCGCACAGACGAAAACAAAAGATTGACTTCTCCGTATTTTTGGCCTACCCATTCTTCAAGGTTTGGGATGACGGTGTAGGTCTACATTCCTTTCGTGCCGGTCTCTCGACGTTGTTGCAATTCCGTTAAAATACTCTGTCGCATAGCTGTTTTAATTTCGCGGACGTCTGCATTAGCTTCTTCAGCTATTTTCGTTTCCTTTTTCGTTTTGCGGATATATAGCTGCTCCTTACGCAGTAGCTCAATGGGTAACATTCCTGTTAGAACTGCCGTTGCTGACGTTGAAACTGTGCAGCAGGCTGATAAGATTCTCATTATGCACATTCTTTGAACTGCTTCAAGCTTTCGTAGCAGAAGGTTATGTTGCAGTACTTTTTCCACGGAAATTGCTGCTGGGCATAGCCTCCACTACATAAGAGCTTTTTTTGGCTTGTTTTGGTACGTTCAAGTTTGGCATCATTTTACAAAGGGGGTATGTAGTTGCCAGTGGTTTATTCATACCTTGATAATATGCTCCGTAAAAGTTAATTTCCTATTTAATTTCATAATATCTAAATTCGATACTGCAACCTTTATTTTTGGCACTTGGTTTATCTTCCTATCCGTCGCTAGTATGGCTTCACTTTTCTCCGCAGCAAGTTTTAATTTGGATTTATACGGCTATCTAACTGTTCGGCTTAATCTAACGCTTGCTCCTACCAATCTACCTCCGCTTGAAAGCCCCATTTTGAGGAGGCCGTCTTACATGAGGTTTCCCGGGAAGGGACTACGATGAAGCCTCTTGGCGCCCCTGCTATAATGGCGTCTTCTTTAATATCATC